GATGCAAAAGGTTTCGTTCCGATCGGTGCATCCAGCTAGGCGTAATCGGCGGGCACACATAGAAAATAAAAAAAAAAAAAATAAAAATATACTGATCGAATTGAGTAACCTCCTCCTTTTTCGAAGTCGGTTAAAAAGGATAGTGACACAAAAACGAAAACCGACTTCGGCAAACACGAAAGACTAGTGCGTGTTTTGTCTTTTAAATTCAATAATCAAAATTCTTATCTTCGGTTTTTCGTGAATAATACTTTTACCATCGTATTCGTTTCGTATTTCTGTTTACAATGACACCAAACATGATATAATTACGATCATACTTACGTGTGTAGCAAACCATAAAAGTTTTGGACTTTCACACTTATGACAAACTTTACATTTACGACAGAGATACGAATTCCTCTTAACAGCTTGCTATACAAATAATTATGATTTTAAATATACCGTGTTTGTTGTCATTTTAATCAGAAAATCGAAACGAATACCATGGTATAAATTTCATGAAAAAATAATAAGAAATAAAAAAATTGTAATCTTTGCCTTCGCTTGCATTAGTATGTGTTTCACTGATATTCGATTGTTGTTGAGTGATTCCGAGGAAGATAACACAATAGTGAGGATACAATTTTTACTTTTACGGTAAAGATTTTTTACACACTTAAGGAGAGAATACTGTATTGTTATTACAAAATATTCAATGATATTTTTAAAATAAAAGGCCGCAAACATATTCGGCGTTAACATGAAAATTTGAAAACTTCAACTCATTTGTGACATGGGTTCCTGTTCCAATCATGCTGAAACTTTGACATTATCATTTTTTTCATTAAATCAAAATTTTAGGTGGTGAAACAAAAAAAAGTCGAAAGTCGAAAAGTAAAGGCCACCCTAATTTACATTTACGTGTTTCATACATAGTTTTATACATGAACATGAGTTCATGTTTGTACTCAGTGCCTCTTCGCTTCCAAGTCCTCGTTTTCTCAGTAAGACGGCGGGTTCTACAGGGTATTTTACAATTAGTGTAGGCCCCTGTAGCTGACATAATTCCGAATAAGATTTCCCTTTGCAAAAATGGGGTATGAAGCTTAGTTTTTGAATTATTAAGGAAAAATACAGTTCAATCAGAGCGCGAGGATTATGCATGCCCAGATGCGAGAGCGACAACTTCGAGCCTAGCGACTGAGCGTGTTTTTGCTAAATAATTCAAAAACTAAACTTTAAACACTCTTTTTGCAAAGGGAAATCTATTCAGAATTACGTCAGCAGCCCCCTCCCCCCTCCCCATTTCACGAACCTACACTAATTGTGAGACACCCTGTATAGGCATCAATTCTTGTTGTGCTGGGCCAGGGGTCGGCAACCTTTTGAGTTGGAAGAGTCAAAAATTACAATTTACAAAATTTCAAAGGTTTTAAAGAGCCACAAAATTTTGTCTTACCAACAATAAATAGTAGTCGCATAAATAAAGTTTTTTGATAAAAAAAAAACTAATCTATTTATTCATAAGAAAAAATATCTATTTATTCATATACATATAAGTAGTGTTTTCCACAACAAATTAGATAATATATATATGGCATTATTAGATAATTACTTATTATTTAAGTAAAAAATTAAAACAATTAAACATTTACTTACAACACTAACAGTTGACGACAGCGACGACGCGTGTCACGGGGGAGGGATGCTGTGAAAAGCAAGTACAAGTGATTGAAAGATAGAATCGGTGCCTAATCCTCGTTAATCGATTCAGAATGATTTTTAAATGATTTTTTTTTTATAAAATAAATAATATTTGCATATGGAACTAAAGAGCCGCAGCTTCACATCCAAAGAGCCGCATGTGGCTCGCGAGCCGCAGGGTGCCGACCCCATGTGGCTCGCGAGCCGCAGGTTGCCGACCCCTGTGCTGGGCGGTTTCGGCAAACTGTTGTATACGATTGTCAGTTCTACCGAACAGTATTAAATTGCGAAAAATGGATGCCCACTTTAAAAGTTATACTTTGCTCAAAAACTGTTTAATATTTCAAATACTTAATTTGCTTTAAAGCGTAATGCAGAACATTTCAGTTCACAATTTAATAGACTAATTATGTGCAGTCTCGCTACATAGAATGTAATATTTTTTGACTTTTACTAATTATATTTCTTTACCTCGTACAAATGTAATTGTGTTACTTAATAAACTTAAAAATTAAAGTATTTTAAAGGAAACTAATAAATCATTGTCAAATTTTACATGTACATTGCCTTATTATTCAATCATTCAATTATCTAATTACTTATAATCATTGTAGAATTACGATAGCCGTATTATATTTGGATTTTTTCTTGCTAGATACTGGCTGTGGCCCTGGACCAAAATATATTTTACCATCTCCCAAATCACCAGCCTTCACACTAAAATCTAGAACTGAACATCGTAAGATAAGTCCCACGCCCGGACCTTATAATGTAAACCTTCCTATTCCAGGACCAGCGTTCTATATGTACGTATCTCCTTTCTTTCAGACAATTAATATTTACATTATAATATTTTAAGATAAATATTTTAATGCTCAAACGAATCGCAGTTGATAATGGAATGAGAATTTTATTAATAATGATATTCTGCTTATTTTGAATGTTTGAATTAAAAATATATCAGTCTTGCATTAAACTAATTAAAGTTTCTATAATCCAATATTTGTATTATCAAAAATATTATTGTACAACAACTTTTTAAATTCGTTTCATAGTAACTCAAGCAATCGAGAGAGCACATTTGTTAAAATTGTATTTAATTATTGTTACATAATTTTTTAAATAGAAAATATAAATATTGTTATTTCGTATTTATTTTGTTTGAAGATTGAAATTGGGTATTGCGTTTTTCCGCTAATACATCATAAAATGGCACTAACCAGTCACTTTGAATATTCATTTGGTGTCCAGTAATATTGCACTTTCCGAACGATCCAATTTATCTTCTTGTACCTCAGCATGATTGGCCTCATATCTTTTTAGTTTTTTCGGCGTTGAGCAGTCTCTCAAATTGGGACCCCAATCAGCTGATTTTCATTTCTATATATGTCCATAAAATTATTTGATTCTGGGTATAACTAAACCTCATCACGAGTATTCATTCAATTAACACCCTCGGAACTCAATATGGAATCTATGATATTATCTTTTTCTGAATTAGTCACCTTTCTTGGGCCACAATTAAAAATCACGTCGTGAGCAATAATAATCTTTCTGGTTTTGGGTTTATCGACACAGTTTTTTGAGTTGCTATCATAGCCTATCAGGATAGCTTTTCATGGTTTCCTTGAGCTTGATCCTTTAATGGCTGGAACGTAACTATAGGCTTCCAGCCCACAAACTTTCATGGGTTTCACGTTAGACTTCTTTCTGTGCCAAAATTCAAATGGCCTGCCCTTATCATTATTGGATGAGATGGTAGGATTCAGAGCACAATTGGTGGTTTCTACAGTTACATAGAAACAGTGCAAATTGCACCGAGTGCTACATGCTCCTCACTAACTCAATCAGTGTACGGTTTTCTCGTTTAATCCTATCATTTTGTTGAGGACAGTATTGGCCAGGACTACAAAATTTGATTTTTTTGCTCATTATAAAATCTCATAAAAAATTAAAAAATACACGAATTTGGTTAGAAAACTTTTTAAAACAATCCAGTGCAACACTCTTGTTTTTCAAGAAATACACTTTGCAATACACCGATTTTCTTTTGCCAAAATGGGCTTTGAGGCTTCGTTCTTAAATTATTAAGCAAAAACACTGACCAATCATAGCGCGGGGATTACGCACGCTGAGAAACGGGAGCGACATCTTCGAGACTGTTATTTATCGTTAATCATATATAACTCTACATTAAACATTACACTTGCAACAACAAATTACCCAAAACCGAAGGCAATAACATCATGTAGTCACTTGAAATGACTTGATACATATTCACGAGACTGTAAGAAATCGCCGGGACAAAAGTATTCGTACACTTAATTATTGTTACAATTATTTTAGCAGGAATTTTATTAATTAATATTTTGGATGATCACCTTTTCGGCAAATCATTTCACGTAATACATTGGGTTTCATACTGTTTTAGGGTGAATTTTCTTCAGTATATATTCTTTAAGGTGTGATGTAATTTCAGATGCATTGCTATCTGGTTTCTGTTTAATAGTTCGGGCGATTTTACGCTTTTCTCGCGTAGTTAATTTTTGAGATCTACCATTTTTTTTTATTCTTCAATATTCTATCTTTTTTATACTTGTTTACAATACTTTATACAGTCAATCGACTTCTTTTTAGTATTTCTGATATATTTCTATATCATTTATCTTCTTCATGTAATCGTAGAACAATTTTTTTTTCTTCTACTGTTATTTCATTGCGTTTTATCCTCATATTGCAAATATTAGTATTAAAGTGTATCTGCCATGATTACTATTGACTACATTAACAGAACATCATCTAATGTAATGGTTGTAGAGTTGTTCAAAGAAAGGTGTTTATTTTAATTGAACTGACAAGGAAACATATCGAACCGCGACACACCGATTTTAATGAAACTTATGTGAAAGATAGTTCTCAAAAAAATATTTGACACGTATGTTTTTTTATCGGCAATCGTTCACATTGAAGGGGTGAAAATAGCCCTCGAAGTTGGGGGTTGAAACCATGTTTTTGGGAATATCTCCGGAACGAAAGAAGATAATTGAATTCTTTTTTTTGTAAATTGTTCGTCTTTAGATAGGAAATTTTTGTGCGTAAAAAAATTTCAAGAAACTTTATTTGTTTAAATAATATTTAAAAAATTCATCATTTTTGTTTAAATTTTTGCACTAAATGTTGATCTATTTTTTTGCAACTTCGTGTACGTAAACTATGGACAAAAATAGAGGATACGTGTTTTTGGAATTTGTTGTTTGTTGCAATGTTTATTAGATATATAATTCAAAACGACCTCTTGTGAAGAGGGGAAATCAGCATTTTTATTAAAAATATCATTATTTTTACAATCTTTTACATTATTTTAACGATTTTATATCTCCTCATATGCAATTAATTGATTTTTCAATAATTATTGTAAGCGTTGCAGGTATGAGCGTGTCGCGGTTATGATTAACGCCGCACCATAAGGAACATAGGCTTTTATGGCCAATATAATAAACATTGCAACAAACAAAAAATTCCAAAAACACGTATCCTCTATTTTTGTCCATAGTTTACGTACACGAAGTTGCAAAAAAATAGATCAACATTTAGTGCAAAAATTTAAACAAAAATGATGAATTTTTTAAATATTATTTAAACAAATAAAGTTTCTTGAAATTTTTTTACGCACAAAAATTTCCTATCTAAAGACGAACAATTTACAAAAAAAAGAATTCAATTATCTTCTTTCGTTCCGGAGATATTCCCAAAAACATGGTTTCAACCCCCAACTTCGAGGGCTATTTTCACCCCTTCAATGTGAACGATTGCCGATAAAAAAAATACGTGTCAAATATTTTCTTGAGAACTATCTTTCACATAAGTTTCATTAAAATCGGTGTGTCACGGTTCGATATGTTTCCTTGTGAGTACAAAAAAATGAGTGCGCGTGTTTCCACGAGCAAAGTGAGGTTCGGCACGTAAATTATCGCAGCGCAATACAGATTTATAAAATTTGATGGGGTGACGAAAGGAGTCTTGAAGTCAGGAAGAGATGATCTCTGAAAGTGCCGTGCACCGTAGGTGATGTCTTCTATCTTGAGAAATTAAGGAAAAGCTGAGGTGCCGTGAGAAACGTCTTCCTAGCTTGTAAGGTTTTGGAATAGGCCTTGTAACGAGGCATATTTTTATATCCCGAATATCCCGATACCGTTGCAATTGTTGTATTTATCAACATAAATCATAATGTACGAATATTTTTGCCCCGGCGATTTCTTACGGTCTCCTGAATTTCAAATCATTTCAAGTTACTACATGATGTTATTGTCTTCAGTTTTGGGTCATTTGATGCTGTAAGTATAATGTTTAATATGCAGCTATGTATGATTAAATATACTTAATAATATAGAAAATATTGTTTTTTTTTGTTACTGTATTTTAAAAATACGAATACTCTTGTTCTCCACTCCACATATTTTATATTTCAAATACATTATTGACCGTGATTTTGAGGTTTTATTTTTTTATCAATAAAGCCTTACTAAATGCCCAACAATAATAATGAAGACTTAACCGGAAAAAACATATGTAAATTATTTTAAACTAAATCTAGTAACTTCACAATACATGTTAATATTATTACTGTAATATTATGAAAGTAGTGCTCCTATATCTTCAACAAAAAATTGCATTTTTTCAAAGTTTTCCTGCGGTTTTACATTTATTGAAATTGCAGTCGACAATAAAAGAAGCTGAAAAAATTCTTAAATATGTGCTAGTGGATATCTAATGTTTTAGAAATGTTATATGTCATTAAATAGAAGAAGTGGGTCAAAAAGCGGGTTGTAACGTGATGTGAAATATTTTTTCTTAGATATGCTATCGAATAATGTACTGCAATTTTCATTGGACTCAAGGACACATTTTATCATCTTATTTGTCTATACCCTTTATAAATTTGAGAAATATTTAATTCACAAACTCGTAAATATTAGGTTGGGGAATAAGTTCGTAGCGTTTTGACATTTTCTTTTTTTTACAGCGACATTTTGCAATTTGCAAGGGGTTATAATATTCATTCGATAGTTTTTTTTCAGTAGTTTCATTCGTTATTACTATTGAGGCTCAGAAATGGAATATCCAGGAGATAAAAATTAGCACTTTCGACACCTGCTATTCTTCGCTTTCCATCGCAGCCAAAAAGCTGCTGAAACAGCCCGGGATATTTGCAATGTATACGGAGAAGGTGTCATAGGTGAGTCGACAGCACGGAAATGGTTTGCAAAATTCAAAAATGGCGATTTTAAAGTCGAAAACCCGCCTCGTAGCGGAAGACCATCTGAGTTCGACGAAGAGCGTCTCCGAGCACTTGTGAAGCAGGATGGTCCTCAAATTAGTCGTGAATTGGTCGAAATAAAATAATTTTAAGAAAAAAAATACACCGACTTCGAAATGCACTAAAAAGTATAAAATAATTTCTATTTCATTCAATCATACAATTACGTCACAGATATGAATGAAACCTATTTACTCGTTAGGTAGTGTATTCAATGGGATTTATCGAAAAATTGGGAGCCTGGATGCCTCACGAAGTGAACGCTACAAACTTATTGCCCAACCTTAGGTTGAATTTTGCAAACCATTTCCGTGC